CCACCTTATCAACTATTTCCCAACATTATCCTTTAGCCCTTCTATTCATTTTTTAAAATTTTACTCATCATACCTTTAATTTACAATAATTACTTGCCTTCTGATCGATTCTTTTATATAGCAGCCAGTTCTAATTCTATAAATGGACTATTTTCTGAAATACTTCAAATGTACCAATTAGAACTTTCTAAAGTTCTCTTTTTTCACTTGAAAAGGGTTAAGCATTAGTTGTCTTCCCTGTATTTGTTCATGTATTTTTCTTTCATGCTCTTTATTTTACTAAAATACATGTTTACTCAAATACGTGTGTACCCTCTTCCACTTGTATTTATAAATCAGATATTAAGCTAATTATACAGGCCGACTCCCCTAACTCTTCACAGTTTTGCTGTTCCAAGATGCTTCTCTGTGAACCTAAAGACTGGCTGCTTATAAATTCTTAGACTTGAAAGCCCTGAGTAATCATGCAATGAACATTCATCCTGATGGTCCTAAAATTCAAAGGGTAGCAATGCTGGAGCTAGATTAGATGCCTTTGCACAATGACCACAAGTGGAAATGTAAACAAGCCAATCTCTGGATGTAGAACTGAAATGAAGACAGTCTCATATGGGATGAAACCAACTAGATAACTTCAAGTTACTGTTTTAGTGACTTAGTAGCAAAGTAACAACTCTAGATTGGAAATCTCAATATCTGTGCTCTAGGCCTGTTTCTGTTACTAATCACTAGCCATAAACCTGCAAGAGAGCCATATCCTCTTTGGATTATAACATGATGATGCTTGAGGCCCTGCCTATCCTAAAATTCTATAATAGTAGGAATTTAAGTGTCCATAAGTGATCTTTCTGCTCCTGGATATGTATAACCAAATCAAAAGTTAAGCCACAGTGATCATATATTAATGGATGTAAGATATTTACATGCACATATTTATTAAAGTCACTGTATTAAGTGCTAACACTAATTTCCACCTCTCCAGGATACTGTGATTGGTCTCCACATAAATTTTTTATCCTACACAACCTACTGATGAGTTTTTAAGCACACAGAACTCAGAGGAATACTTGAATGACTGTGCTATAATATATTTAATCAAAAATATGAAACGAAAATAGGGTTTTTCAAATGAAACATCCATATTCATACACAGCTTTTGTTTTGTCTTCTCAATGAAATCTCACATTCTCCAATTCAGCAAATTCATCTTAAACATTGTACTGGTTCAGTCATAGTTACAATCTTAGAGACCTCTGTCAGTATTTATTATTTTGGCTACTTATGATCCTGCTATCACATATGTCATCTTTCTTATCTTAGATCCAATCACTTCTCTTTTCCATAAAATTGCACAGTGCCTTTCACATTCTTATCAATTAGTATGAGAGGTTTAATCTTTATAATTGACAAATATATATGGTGTATACACCAATGGGAAAGAGTTACCATGCTTCCTGTTTCCC